GTGAGTGGGTGTGTGTGTGGGGGGGTGGGGGGGGTTGATGAAAAATGTATCTTGAGAATTGATCAGTCTTTCTCACTTTTTATTTACATTTCTTTGAGGGGTTTGTTAGTTGATTTCTCTACAGTAGAGTATTAGTCAATGAATTCCATACTTCCATGTTATCTTCATATTGAAGTAGAGGAATTTTTTTTTTTATTCTAAATTTATTTTAGCTTCCAAAGCAAGGAGGACTGCAGCTTTTGACATAAACTTCGGAATGGTGATCATAGAAATTCTTTAGTTAATTATATGTAAAGAGCACATAAAATAGAAGCATAATAAAGAATTCAAGAAAACGTTCATGTTAAATACCATGTCTTTTCTTTAAAACATATTATTTATGCATTTTCTGTAATACTGTTATCACATCCTTTGTGTTTCACCTGTAAATGGTATTTACCTTTAGTACTTTATAGTGTTAATAATAATTTTGCTGAAAATGAAGGATGAACAAATTTTAAGCTTCTGCAGCTTGCTCTGCCCATACTATTGTACTGATACAATTTTTCAATCAGGGTTTAAATTTTTCACCAAAATCACTAATTTGATACCTGACCACTTATTTTAGGAGTTTGAAGCTTAAACTTTTATGTAAGAAGTCCCCTAGATTTTTGGGACCCCAGGAAATTGAAAGATGCAGAAAACCACAGCATAAGTATTTCTTAATACTATTTGTCAGCTTTTGTGGCCTTAGGTTTTTACCAAATGGGACAATAACTTTTATAGCTGTTGAGAAGAAGTGGGGACAATAAACCTTTGGGGGGGGGGGAGAGAGATTTCAACCTAAAATAGGGTACTTTCTTCCTGATGGACAGTCAAAAAACTGGAGTGCTGACCGGTCAATTAGTGATTCAGAATAACTTTGCTCTTCATCTTTTTAAGTCTGTCTGCACCTGTCAAAGAAATGGTATCTTTCCTAAGAAGGAAGATCTTTCAAATCATAAGTTAAAACTGCGGAAATTCAGGAATTTTTTTTTTAATAGCATCTAGTGGCCAACTAGGAGAACCACAGATGTGATTAATTATTAGCCCAATTGAAGGATTGTAGCATGAAGTCTATTTGAATTTCGTTTACCTCTTCACTTTTGGTCATTTCTAATGCTAGATTTGTAGAAGAAATGTTTTTATCCACATGAGCAGTCAGCCAATATGGATGTAATTAATTCAGTTGGTTTTCCTGGCATTGTTATGCAGAAAGTTCCATGCTGGCTGATTGTTGAAGGATATGGTGAATTGACAAGGGCTTCAAGCAGGAAAATCAGGTTGCATTTCTGACTCTGCTGCTGATCAGCTTTGGCAAGGTTGTATAACTTCTGTGAAGGTAACTTCTGTCATCTTCCAAGAAGCAGTATTATTCCTTATTGTGGAAGAAAGTATACAAATGAATGAACACTCTTTTTATTCTTTAAGATTCAAAATCACAAATATTCTTTTACAGAGTACTGGCAGTACCCTTCATACTTTGTCTCAGCATACCAGGTAAGAATTCAGTATGATTATTCTGTTTTACTGTTAATAAATAAAAGAAATTAAATCCTTTTCTTGTTAATTTTCACACATTTATTTTTCCTTGTAGATATGTTACAACTTGTGCTTTTGCACCATGTAGTCCCTTACTTGCCACAGGTTCAATGGATAAAACTGTGAACATATGGCAGTTTGACCTTAAGCAACCCTGTGCAGGTTAGTGTGTGAATTATTTGTAATCTGTTCTTTAAATTTAAAGCACGATATTGTTGAACACCTTCTGAAGATGCAAAAAATCCACTTTTTCTTACATGCGGTTACTTTGCAACCTCAGCATTATGTGCACAGTATTTATCTTTTCTCCAAATTGTTCTTATTAATGTCCTACAGAGGTATTCTCTCTTTGTCTTTTAAAGAAAAGATATACAAGAAGTATTTTTAATTTTATTAATCTACTGTATCTTCTTTTCTGATATTTGCCATTTCTTACTTTCTGGATGGCATTTAAGAGATTAATATTATTCCCAGAGCGCTGAAAGACTTTTCAGGCAGGTGTCATTGGCGATGAGTTAAACAGAAAATACGATAATTGCAAACATAATTGCCAACAAGAAATACAGCTTACCAGTTATTATAGGTGAAAAACCCAGGATAATTAATGTTACAAAATATATCAGCACCTAAAGTATGTGGAACAAAGGCACGCAGATCTTTGTTCAAAGCAGAAGACTAAGTCTGGACTTTCGTCTACTTTTCTAAGGAGGTGTGAGACTTGGTTTCAGTGTCTGCTGGTGCTTTTCTGTCTTCTAGTTCAATTCAGATTTGACAGAAGTGTAGGCATCTGAGAGGTTAAATTCCTCTAAACTGAAAATTGATGAGTAGAAGACAAACCCAAATTTTTGCCCCTT